TGTATTTTGGTTCCCTTGTGTGCTTATTCAAAACATTTGATTCTCTAATTGGCCTTCATCCTTAACATACTGCTGTAAGGAGGGGTTGGCAGTTTGACTCCCATTATTTGAACCAGGCCACCTTTAATTGAGTAGAATAGTCAAGTCATGCGCAAATATACTAAAGATGAAGATACTGATTTTGTTGTTCTTACTTTGTAGAATATGCGATTGAACCGGAGATGGAGACATTAGGAAAGGAGATGGTTGCACGGTGTTGTGGTTTGCCATTAGCCATTTTGGTGCTTGGTGGACTTCTTGTAACAAAACACAGCGTTAGAGATTGGCAAACGGTACACGAGAACATCAATTGGTATTTGACTCGGGGCAGAGGTCATGGACAACAGCAAGCAGTAAATGATGTTTTTGCATTCAGTTATCATGACCTTCCGTATCAGTTCAAGCAGTGCTTTCTTTCTCTGGCCAATTTTCCCGAGGATTTTGAGATAGAAGCCGAGAAATTGTACCAATTCTGGCTAGCCGAAGGCATCATATCACAGGAAGAACGAGCTGAAGAAGAAACAATGATGGATGTAGCCGAACGCTACTTGGCTGAACTGGCACAAAGGTGCATGGTCCAAGTCAACGTAAAAGAAACAGCTGGTGGTTTCAAAAACTGTCGTCTTCACGATCTTATGAGGGATCTTTGTTTATCTAAAGCTAAAGACGAAAACTTCACCAAAGCCGTTGATTTTAGACGTGATAAGAGACCGATGGATTCATTATCATTGAGCTGTAGAATTCGAAGAATTTCCATTTATTTGGATTCCAATGTTACGCAGGATGCTGTTACTTGTAGTGAAAATCGTCACATCAGGTCGGCTTTCTTTTACGCTAATGATTGTAAGGAAGATGTTTTGCAACAAATGAGATTCCATCTCAGTAGCTTCAAATTGCTCAGAGTTTTATTTCTTCAAGGATTTCAATCTGCCGATGAGTTGCCTAAATCAATTGGAGGCTTGATCCACCTGAAGTGCCTGAGTTTGAGCTATTCTCAATTCAAGAAGTTGCCAGCATCATTAAGTAAATTGGTGTTCTTGCAAACACTCGATTTGGAAGTAGATAATTCATTGCAAATCCCAAATATCATCTGGAAAATGGAAAGATTACGACATCTATATCTTCCTAAAAGCTTTCACACTGAAGATGGTTCGAAATTAAGGCTGGACGGGTTAAGTGAGCTAGAGACTTTAGTGAACTTCAATACAAGCTTATGCGATGTGAAAGATCTCGACACACTGACTAATCTTCGGAAACTAAGAGCGTCAATAAAGGATAAACTTGATGACCTGCCAAACATCCTCAAATACATAAGCTTCACGCAGAATCATCTTAGAAGGTCGTCCCTTTACATTTCTTGTCCACAGTTCTGCTCAGATGCCGAGTTAAGTCTTTTGAGGACATTACTTGGGTGTCATCGTCTTTACAAGTTATCCATTGAGGGGCGTATTGGTAAGTTACCGGAATTTTACCACTTCTCATCAAGCATCGCTAACATAGCCTTCAAGGCATCTTTGCTCGAGGAAGATCCCATGGCAACACTAGAAAAGCTACCAAAATTAAGTAGCTTAACATTATACAACTCGACTTTTGTGGGAGAAGAAATGGCATGCTCGGTTAAGGGGTTCCCGAGACTTTTGTATCTGAAACTGTGGGGTTTGTCGAACTTGAAGAGTTGGAGGATTGATGCAGGAGCCATGCCAAAACTCTCTCGTCTAGTAGTTGCTCGTTGTGAAAATTTGGAAATGCTCCCTGATGGGCTTAAATTCATTACTACACTGCAAAAACTGAATATTCGGTGGATGTCCGACGATTTTAAGGATCGACTTAGAGCAGTTGATGGTGATGAAGGTGACGATCTTTACAAAGTTCGACATGTACCTGATATCAAACTTGATTGAATCTTTCTTTTCGGTATTATTAATTTAAAAATGCCCATGGTTGTCACTCTATTGTCAAACGTTGTTTTTTACTTGAATTTCGAGTGTTGCGTTGTATCATACTGTGTTAGTTCCAGATTTGTTCGTGTCCTGTATTGTACTAACTTCAAGTTTCTATTATTTTTCATTCGAACTTATGCCTATGTTTGACACCCATTTTTTTTTCATTCTCATTTTTTCATTCTTTATTTCAACCACACATTCTCCAAATAAAATAATATTTTACACATCTAAAAATTTTCATTACTTTTCCACCACACATTCTCACGTCAATCACTATTTCAAAATTTATATTCTCACAAAAATGAGATTCAAATACAAGCTATATGTATTGTTCTGAAAAGCTGAGATGATACCAGATTAATTCGATGCCCGTTTTGTTGGAGAAAACAAGATATTATAACCACAATATGAAGCAATTGACCACAAGAACATGACAAAATAATTTGCAGAGAATGAAATTTTTATTATAATATGGAGTAATAATACAAAGATTTGTATTTACAACGTTTCTAATTTCTTATTAAGAGCTTGTTTGAGATAGATTTTTGGGGGAAGAATTAATTTTAAATAGTGATATGATAGGAAATGTGTGGTTGAAAAAGAAGAAAAAATTATTGATGTGATGGAAAATATTATTTCATTGAAAAATGTGTGGTTGAAAATGAGAACTGATTTACTGTAGAAAAATTTAAT